AAATATATATATATATAATGTGCTCGCGCCTAGAGTAGCTTTGTTAATGCAATTAATAAAAAATAATAATAATAAACACGACAATAATCAAATTCACATACATTATTAGTTGGACGATAAACATCTAAAAGAAGTGGAATTCCAGTTTACAGTATGCATGAGTAACAAAGTTCAAGTGGAACTACTATTTGGATTTTAATGACTTTGACATACCCTAAACTTTGGACTGAATTATGGAATTTTGATTATAGTAATGCTTTAAGAAAATGTAGAGTATGACGATGACATAGAAATGTAGTTTTGTTAATCAACCAAAGGATAAACAGAGATGCGACAAGAAATTACATTATATAGATACCTATTACAGAAAGCATATTTCTGAGTCTTTAGCTTTAATAGTTCAAATGGCTTGAGAGTCAAGTCAAAAAATCGATATATTTCGATAATAAAAATCGCCGTTGTATTTTTCGTTCTAAAACAAAATAAAGTTTTAATTCACAAGGTTTACAAAAATGTGTATGTAATATTACTTTCCTCTCGCTTACATAGTTTTCGATTGCTTTATCAACTCAGCACATAGTCCTGATCAAGAATTATATACTTTATGGGATCAACCACAGCTATTAAACTATATTTAACTTGTAAAGTAATTCCCGCTTTCACATTTATTAAAACAGAATACGACTTCTTAATATAGACTTAGATTCCGACAGCTTCTCTTTATTATGCGCTCAAATTTTATTGTATCTCAATTCCATAGAATATTTTTCGCATTTAAATTTTATTTTCGGCCAATCTGTGCTCAGCTGCATTGTCTCGAGCGACTTAAAGCGGTTGCCCCACAGCCGGAGCTGGAGAAACAATGGCAATAATAGCTGACAGTAAATCCATTTAATCCGACCAACTGAATGCTTCGCCAGCGCGCAAAGGGCATGCAAAGGAGAGGACCCACAGCTCTTGGAGAGTGCATCACCTGCAGAGCGAATCTAATCGCTTAATGAATTTATTTACCCCAGCCTCCAGTGGCTCAACCAGCCACACCCAGTCAATTCTGGCTCAGTGGCAAACCACTTGAGTCTATTCCAGCCCCGGGCATCGCCAGCATGAATATCCTTCAGTCTGTGTGGCTCAACATTTTAGTCCTGGTGGCGATGAGTTTGTCATGTGATTTAATCAAAGTTTGCTCCAGTCAAATCTCGCCCGTAATCGTCACCAGCTGTGAGCCAAGTGGGCGAGTGGGCGTGGCGCTGACTGTGCATTTTGATGGGTGAGTGTTGGGAGAGGTCTATAAGTGGGGTGGCCATGGGAAACCGCAGGACCTCTGACCAACTTGCACACTTTGTGTTGTGAATTTACTTTGCACTTTCTTGCAAGCAGCCCGCTGTTGACAAGGACTCTGGAGTCATCTCCGGCCGCTGGCTCCTGGCTGCAGAATATTTGCGTGTTGCTGCAGGTGTTTCCAACGTCCGTTGACTTTCTACTCGGAGCAGTCGAAAGAGACAGAGAGAGAGAGAGAGAGAGAGAGAGAGAGAGAAAGAGTGAGAGAGAGAGATAGAGAGGATGTTGCGGGTAGGTGTCACAGTTGAATGCCGTTCGGTCGTCCTGATGCCGATTTAAGTGCCAGCAGAAGATAGAGTAAATGCAATAAACACCATTAGCTGCAATGGCAAAACGGCAACAGGAGCAGACCAGCAGCCAGCAAGCAGGAGCCAGAAACCATAAGCCAGTAGGACCTGTATGCATGTTTTAGTTAGCAAAGTTTTGCAGCAAAATGTAGCAGAGGAATCGAGGCCAGGTGAGTAAGGAGCTGCTGCATCTTGCTGCAAGTTCGAGAAAATGTTGCACCAACAAAAAATGCAAACAGAAAACTTAAGTGAATTGAATAAAAAAGTTTCTCAAAACTGCAAACCGAGAACTGCAAACTGCGAGCTGCCAACTGAGGGTGCCATAAACTGAATGCGGTTCATAAGGCGAACCCCGAGCAGCCAGCTCCATGCAGACGCGCTCCAGCTAAGGTCGTGTTTAAGTAGATTGCATAATTTGCTTATCGTTCGCAGCCTGTTTGCCGTTTGACTTGCCAACTTGCTCAACATTTCTTCTTATTTTTTGTTTTTTTTTTTTTTTTNAGATTTCTGTAAATAGTGTTTGTAAATATAACTATAACTATGGCTTTGAATTTAAAGATTCAAGGCCAGATTTGCCATCGCATTGGATCATTGCAACCTATTGAAGATGCACAGCAAAAATTCTTGCAAATATACTTCATGGGCAATATGGAAGAACAACTTGACCGGCGTCAAGAAATGAACACAGCTATGAAAAGAGCAATTCTCCATGATTTGCATGCTTAGAAATTTAAACCAACCAAAACTGTGCAATGGAACGCGTTTGGTGATAAGAAAACTGATGAGCAATGTGATTCACGCGTTGATACTCAAAGGAAAATTTAAAGATGAGGAAGTTCTTATTCCTAGGATTCCGATGAGCTCAACAGATATGCCCTTTGAATTTAAACGAATTCAATTCCCGCTTCGTCTTGCCTTCGCCATGACGATCAACAAGTCACAGGGCCAATCTTTGACTATTTGTGGCCTCAATCTAGAAAATGCGTGTTTTTCTCATGGTCAATTGTACGTGGCATGCTCACGTGTTGGCAAACGATCCGCATTATTTGTTCTTGCACCCGACCAAAAAACGAAGAATGTCGTTTACAACAAGGTGCTTGAATGAAAATCCGATTAATAAATTTATCAGTGTATCCCAGCCTGAACAACATAGCTTTCAACAATTTTTTACCTAGAAATAATATAGAGGGCAATGCAACGTTTGCCGGGCCAGCTAGTTTACTTATATAATTGTAGTCAGCTGTAATTTAAACAAAAATCTAACTTCACACATTTGGCGAACTAGTTATTTTTTTCAACTCCAATCTTTGGTTAGTTCACTCGAGATCCGTGGAGTCGGCAGCCTTTGAGTGCGCCTTCTCAAATTGAGTGCTCCATGTGGAAACTCTTGACCCATTAGCCCTAACTTTATTTTTCTTCTGCACTGACAACAGCTGTGCCACGCAGAGAAGCCAGTGGTAGACAGCTGCTACACTAGTGTGTGTGTGTGTGTGTGTGCCTCTGCCTCTTTTGGGGACATGCATCAACCCACTTAACGCTTTGTTTGGGCCGCAAAATAAATGATGCCAAATGCTGCAAAACAATAACAGCGCGCCTTGCTTTTTGCCAGCACAATACTCTAGCATTTCTTTCACAGAAATCCACTCAGCTATGCACACACATACACACACACATACGCGCATACACTCACATTGAATGCAACTCTTGCGGTTCATTGTACTTTACGAGCATTTTTAGCTCCACTGAGCTCGCGACTTCCGCGTTGTTTTGCCGCCATTTTGTTAGGTTTTGTTGTCATCCGCCATTTTGTGTGTGTGTGTGTGTATGTGTTTGATTTTTCTTTTATTTTTTGCTGCACGTGCATCGAACAATAGTTTGAACCCAGGGCTGCCTCAATTGTTTGCCCATAAATAATGGGCAATGTCATAGCGAATGTGGCGACAGTTGGCACTCACAATTGGCCTCACATCTGAGCCAGGCTTTAAAGCATGCAAATATCACGTATACGCCGCCGGCGCCACACGTACAGACACACACATATATATATACATATATATATATATATACAATTGCAAAGAGATGCCAAATGACACACCGGGGAGCTGTGCATTTGTGAACTGTGGTTCGCATTACGCTGCATTAAGCCAAAAAGGCTGACCGAAAGGCTGTTAGCCAACAACTTTCTAACCACATTTCGGACATGGCGCAAAGTTACACACACAAAAATCGGTGTGTGTCTGCGTGTGTGTGTGAGTATGTGCGGCCTGGTGCCTGCTGACAGCTGTTCGTGTTTTCTGCCAATGGAGAGCTTCGCATTAGCGCCATTTTCCACTCTGCGGTCATAATTCACTGAAATTAATTGTCGCATTCAAGTATTGTGCGCCTTGAACAAAACCCGCACAAGAACATGCCAATCGGGGGTCCACGGCTGCCCCATACTCTGTTCTCAGCTGCAAGGGCTCTAAGACGACTTCATGCTGAAAATTTCGAATTATGACTATAACAATTTGCTTAATTATTTTCTAAAAACAGTTTCAGATTCTGAAAAAGGTTCATATCTAATGATTTATATTTTATTTTTATACGCTAGCGTGAAATAGACTCTTTGTCATTATCGTAAAAGAGATTTTTGACTAATTTTCGGAATATTTAATCTACATATAAAAAACGAAATTCTTCTATACTATGTATGAATTATTTAATTAATCAATTTTGGGACTGCTCTATTTAAATCTGTGTACTAATACAATAAAGCTTAATTTTTTTAAAATAATTTTTTAATTTTAAGTTATTTATTATTATTATTATTTCATTAANGCACAAGTCTCTAGTATTTGAAATACGCTTTTTACAAAAGTGAGGGTGAGGGGGTGAATTTAAGGGTGGGGGGTAAATTTTAACAAAAACCGAAATTGTATAAATTGCATATAAGCATACATTAAAAATTTGGAGACTCTAGCAATAAAGGTGTAGAAGATATAATTTTATAACTGGTTTTCGATAAGGTTTTTTATCGATAAAAAAAGATCGGGATGAGTTATCGATTTTTAATGATAAACTTGATATGCGCGCTGTAATTACGGACATTTTAAAAAAAATTTGAAGTCTCTAGCTCTTATATCTTCTGAAATCGACGCGTTCATACATACGGACAGACGGACAGATAGACGGACAGGGCCAAATCAACTCAGCTCGTCGCCCTGATCAAGAATATATATACTTTGTGGGGTCTGCCACGCCTCCTTCTGCCTCTTACATACATTTCAACAAAACCATTATACCCTGATTTCCCATTGAAAATGGGTTCAGGGTATAAAAAAGAATTTCTGATCCACTTTATATTCGGATATCGTATAAGTCCCACTATCAATAACGTAGCCAGTTCATGTTTGTTGCTCTGAAAAACGATTTTATACTACGACAGCTGATGTTTCCACTCTTATCTTAAAAACAAATGTAAAGAAAAGTTTAATTTGATTCGAGCTTATCCCTCACTCGGTCTATCTACCTCCTTCCCTCCTTCCCATTCTCTCTTTCACACACTCTCTCTCTCTCTCTCTCTCTCTCTTTTTTTCCTCTTGACAGTTGATGCTGAAATGAATGCCAACATGTCATCGAGTATTTCCAGTGCGCTGAACACGCTCTCCATATCTGAGGCTTGTTTGCCAAATGAGTTTGGCATAGGTTGCCCGCTTAGGCTCAGTGCCAAGTGCCTTTTGTTATTCCCAACTAACTTTAACTTAGCACAAAACTTAAAACAATGCGCAACAAAGTTGGCACTTGGCACTTTGTTTCTGTAATTACTTTGCCTGCAGTTTATGATAGCTTTCGCTTTGAGATTATTTTCCATAATGAATTCAAATTATGGTGGACTTTAATAAAAATTCAATTTATATTTACTAAATGGCGTCTCTCAAACGGATACAAGCTTGAAAAGTTGTCTTATTAATTAATTAATCCAATGTAGAAAAGGTAAAGACATTAAAAAACTAAATAATTGGCTTCTTTTCATTCTAGCCAAGTATTCAGCTCTACAAACAAACGGAACACTTTAAGCCAGAATACCAAGTAAGCAAATATTCTTTTGACCTGTTCGTTGCTATCGCTTTGTGCTTCAAAATGAATCGAATATATTGAGGCAGCAGAAGGAAAATCCAGACGCACGTTTCACACAAATAAATCAGGGGGAAAGCTTCCAAATTGTTGCCCATTGTTGCGTACTTTAGACTCACCTTATGCTATCCCGTTTACCAATACAAAGATATTTTCCATTCACCTACCTTCACACTCAAGTCCTCTCGCGCTATATCAAAATTCTCTGTCTGTGTGCATGTGTGTGTGTGTCTGTGCAGTTAAAGTGGGAGGACTTCTAGAGGTCGGTTCAATTGGCTGTCAGGTTGAAGCTCCATCGACTTTGACTTTCACTTTATTTTGCTTGCGTTTCTGTACCTAAATCTCCCTGTCGACAGCATGTAGTAGACGCTTCTCTACTTGCCGGCGCGGGGGGAGAAACCCAGAAAAGGGTTCCGAGCTTCAGAAATGCGCTGACAGCGCATTTATTCCATCAACATATGCAGCGAGTGTGCTGTCAATGAAATGTCCCATTTCCAATATACTGCACCCAGGTTTTTGGAAAAGAAAGTACAATTTCGTCATAAAATGTCACAGCTTCGAAACTTGTTTCAGTTAAAAGCAATTCGAGCACAATCAACTGCAGTCAGTTGCAGTAAATAGTTTTAATTTTATTTAAGCATTTCTATTTTATAAAAGGTATTCTGGAAGTTGAAAGACTTTATTTATTATACAATATCTTGAATTTGTAGAAAATTAGAATTATGGAAAAGAGACAAAGGACTTTTTTCCCCATAAAGTAATCTCTGGAGTGATTATCAAACAATTGAAAATATTAATATCCTATCCAGTCCTGTTCTTTTCTGCCCTAGAGTCTCCTAAAATGGCATTTAGTTTCACTTAATTTTTCTATAATTATAATTTTTTTATAACTTGGATATTGACTCAAAATATGACTCAATTGAATCCGAACGAAAAGAGTTAGAGTTATTTAATACAGTATTAAATATTTATCAGTTAAATTTCAACTAACTCTTTTCATTTAGCTTCAATTGAGTCATATTTTGAGTATAATATATAGATCATATATTAATTCCATTGAACTCACATTCGTTATTAAATAAAATATTCGATACGAGATATTTACTCGATGCATATCCACAATTATGATTAAATTTTGGTTGAATTATTGGCTGCTGAGTATGGGATTTGCACCTTTCTAATTATGTTACAAATAGAATATTGCTTTCATGACATATAAATGGTGATTATTGCCAAATGTTTAATCATATGGCCATCATTTTATTTTTCAGTTCAATATTTTGTTGTATAATTTCGATTTGAAATAAAAACTTTTTCATTTACCACTTAATGCTTCATAAAAATTGTATCATTCAAAAGCGTCTTAAATTTAAGTCAAAAATGTTTGTACGTGTCGGATTGAATGGATTTATTTGTTACCGAAACACAAGATTAAAGCCCATTTCATTTATACATCAAATTTTATGGCAACATTTCAGCCCAAAGCATATAACATTTTATTACGTATGCAAATAAATTTTTAATGCCAACTTTTCACTTCACATTTTCGAAATGCAGCAAACATCTTAATAATATAGATCTACTATACAATGTAATATATGAGACATGCCAAGTCTCTCTGTGATAACCTGTATGCAAACAAATCCCCAAATGACGTCATAAATAAAATGCATTTGTGTGGAAAATTAGGTAGTGGCAAATGACGCTGCAACGAGACGCACACAAAACTCGCAACTCTACATATTTTTACACATTCCACATATATCTACGCAAGTTTGCATGCTCTATAAAGAGCATAAATCGCACACAGTGCTCTGCGCCAGACACAAACAAATCGTCTTTGGAATTTATTCTTTTTTCACTTTATATATCATGGGAATATCAGAGAATTATTGAGAGCCCTGCTTGCATTTTCCTGGAAAAAAGGTGTCAAGTGCGCTGACGATATAAAATCTATATATTTATAGTACGTATATGTGTGTGTTATATCTATTCAAAACAAGCTTTAGTTGCTTTTAAGAGAGGTATGGACTGAAGTGTTTTGAGTGGGCTTAAGTAACACCCTCGCAAGGGTTTCGTGTTCCACTGCAAAAGCGATGCTAAAAAGCGAACCCAGTTCTGATTTAATAGTTTGTATCGAAAGCGTGTCCTATCTAATTTCCAATTACTGACACACCAAAGAACCTTTCAGTACTGCTTCCTGTCAAAAGTTTAATCAACGATAAGGCAAACATTTGAAATTACAGAAAATTTTAACTTTTTTGTTTTATTTTTGCTAAACATTTATATTTTTATTTTATATATTTATTTGTGGTTCAATTGGAATATATGTTGGAACCCAATTTAATTTTGTAAATTTTTAAAGTTTTAATTTTAATAACGAGCTAACTATTGATAGCTAAACTCTTATATTTATAAGAGAGTAAATACCGATTAACTTATCCGCGTATGCGCTCTAGGGAGCGAGAATGTGTGAGAGAGCGCAATATAATTTTGAAATATGTTGAGCGGGATTCACGACAGATTTTTATAAACAAAAGCAGTACATGCAACAGTTAGATGTTCAGTACATTAGGGACATTCGATATTTTAGAAATAAAGTCATTTCACTCATTTCACAATTTGACAAAATTTAAATGAACAAAATGTTAATAATTACATAAAATTTTGTTTTTGAATTATATTGTATGACAATTTATTTATGCAGTTTTCTAAAGCCAGTTAAACTTCCATTCTACTATAAAAATGAAGGATAAAACTCAGCAGTCGAGCAAAAGTGGTTTTGACATTCGATAAATCTTTTCTGAGGGAAATTTTTGTTCAATACGAATAAGCGCCATCTATGTCTCATTTATATTTAAAGTGAATGCACACTCCAAATAATAAAACATATGAAATGATAAAATTAAAAAATAAAATAAAACGTAATACTTTACATTTTATTGGAATATTTGAGAATTTGTGCAATATTCGGTAATTTTTTAACAAATACTTAAACACTTTTCCCGATGGAAATATTCATATATTTTCTATGTGACTAAGTATATTACAATTCCAACCCCAATTCACTGATAGCCAATCAGAACGCCACAAACTGTTGCCCATTCAAAATGGCCGTCTCAACTGCGCGTCGCAGATGCCGCACCCCATAAGGGTTGGCAGAAATCCAATAAGTCCAACTATGGAGAGCTGATTTCAGAGCAGTCAGCACAATCAGAATTTAATCCAATTCGGGCTTCCAAGCAAAACAGTAGAGACCCAAGGTCTACAGTCGATACAGAATACAGAATCTCTATTTATATATGCAGCATCCGAGTGACCAACCTACCTATATGCCAGAGGTGCCCTTTCAGCCACTGTGGGGTCAGGAGGCRCCACCGCCGCCGCCGCCCATAGTTCCCTATCAAGATCTCATTGCAGGTTTCCCCTGCTCCGATTTATGTAAGTTACTCAATTGCTCAATCTTTAATTTAAGTATATTTATATTTATTTCTGTTTTAMCATTTCTTCACAAATAGCACTCTGGCAAAGATCTCAGGTGACTCCACTCGTCAATCAGCGTCCAACAACCAATGGCCGCTCGCACGGCTCCACCTCCTCCAGTTCGAAGAAAACGCGACGCCGCGTAGCTTCCATGGCCCAGAGGCGGGCTGCGAATATTCGTGAACGCCGTCGCATGTTGAACCTGAATGAGGCCTTTGATAAGTTACGACCAAAGGTGCCCACCTTTGCCTATGAGAAACGACTCTCTCGCATTGAGACTCTACGGCTGGCCATCACCTACATTGGCTTCATGGCGGAGTTGTTGAACGGCACACCCTCTAATAGCCACAAAACCCGCTCGGACATGTACGGCGGTATGAACGGACATCAGCAGTCAGGAGCCATGCCTCCAATTCCTTCGATGCATTCTCATCAGTTGCATCCTTTGGCCTATCAGCATGACTTTGCCACGCCTTACAATCGCAGCTAGACATGGACTATCGTGCTGAGCGGAAGGACTATTTAATTATTGTAACGTGTTCTTTGTTGTCATGCATGTCTATAAACTCTAAATTAAATATATGTATATTTGTGATGTATAAATTGTGGTTGCTGTGTGTGAAGGACTCCACCCCACTATATGTATTTACTTTCGAACTGCTGACAAATAATTTATTTGGAGCAATCTAAGCACAATCTTATCAGTGATAAGCTAAAGTTTCAGACGATTGAACTGCCAAATTGTTGTTAATTGACAAACGCATATAAAGGTGTAGCAGTACTCAATGGGAAGTGAAACGAGAATGTTCACACCGGAATTTGCCAGCGATCCGCCCGACTGGTTAGACTCGCAGCACTTGCAGCAAATCATAAGGAATGAATTTAAAACATTTCAGAAAATAGAAAGCGTTCGCTTGACTACTATACCATATGGGCAGCGTGTGCAAATCGGAATTAGGTTAGCAGGTGAGCATGCACAGAGCTAAGTGCTCAATAATCAATACAAGTTACGATAACATTTACGATAATACCATCGATTAGACAACTCAACTCGCTTTGTGAACTATCAACTTAAAGCGCCGAAATTAAGGGATCTAAAGCTTCCACGCTTCCAACTTGAGGTTCACATGCATGAGGTGGTGTTACTAGCCCTTGAGAGCCTCTTTAACGATGTTCAGAAAAAAATAAGTTTCACACCTAGGAGCTACGTGAGTAAGAGCAGTCTGTATTTAGATTACCTTCCAGCCACGGGCTATTGCTTCGTCACCAAATTAAATGGTCTAGACCAATTGGCAATGGAGGTGATCCTATCAAAGGTAGCTGCTTATCATGCTGCTTCAGCGTGTTATTTGCAATCGAAGCCAGATCAATTAAATAAGTTTCCTACAAGTAAAGAGCTAGATCAAGCCTTAGAAGCGAAAAGGAGTTGGATACAACAACAATTTCATGAGAGTCTTAGGGCTAACGACCTGAAGCACTATGAAGATAAGGTGGTACGTATTCGAAACACCTGCTGGAGTGAGTCTATTAGATAACAGTATCTATATTCGCTAACAGAAATCCTATCAAAGGACTTTAGCTAGTCGCGGCGAAGCACCTGATTCGAAGAAATCATTCACTGTCATTTTGAATGGCGCTTGTTGCTCGAACAACTTACTTGGCCAATTTGATGCATTTGGACAGCTTCGAGATGTGGTTTTCAATGACTTTGGTAGTGCTAATATTGGACCTGCTGTACACGATCTGCTGCAACTGCTGCTAACAGCGCCAGCAGCAAAAGCTGAAAGGTTCGATGGATTTTTAAGATTCTACGTAGACGAGCTAGCGGAAATTTTGAAACTGTTAAATTTTAAGGGAAAGATTCCTTCCTTAACCGACATACAACTGGATATACTTAACTATGGACACTGGGGTAAGCTATGAAAGTGAACGCATTTTCGAAGATGTCTTTTCAACCAAAATAACATTTCCAATAGCATTTGAGACTGTCACAGAGACTCTGCCCATTGTGCTGGGTGAATTGGAATGTGAAGATAATGCAGAGATCTGCAAGTTACCAACATATTCGAAAGAAATCAAGACGCTGTTGCCCTGGCTGGAAAATCGCGGTTACTTTGAGGTTGCATAACAAATTAAATTGATTACCAACTAGGATAGATTACGTAAAAACCCGAGCAGCAACAACCACCTGATAATCCCCCTAAGAGCCACTCTTCCAACTACATATTTGAGTTCTGATTTGCGTGCGAACTGTTGCAGCTGTGTGTGGCACATGTTGATGCCACATTGAAGTCACATTAGATGAAAGACAGAAAAACCCAACAACGATTATACAACAGCAGAAAACTGGACAGAATAAACAAAGCGTGAAATTATTGTTAATAAATTAATGTGTGAGGGCTGCAGCACAAGGGCAACTGTTGGAACTACCCTCGTGTGGCGAAAACAAGTGTAAGAGTCAACTAACGAGATTGTGCACAGCCATAATACCCTGAGATAGCTCAGCTAGCAGAGAGTTATGTGTTAAAGCAAATTGTATATTATTTTTAACAACACAAGGACAACATATACATATATTAATATATTATAT